GCGGCAACAATACTACAGCGAGAATAAAAGTTACGCCTTTCTTTGCTTGAACATTTGGGCGGCGTTATGCAAATTTTCCCAGATCGTGACGTAGGTATGTGGGGGTGTGTTAGAACGAGCCGTTTTAGGTAGGCGTGGTTAACTCTTAACTTTTATAAAGATGTCTCTTTGGATTTGAGACTTTAGTCTTTGCAACTTTACAGATCTTCTTTATGCACCAAGAGCTTGTATCACTCCAAAGAGAAAGGAAAAATTGAAATCGCATCATATGACCCCTTTAATGGTATCTCTTTACTAAGTTGCCTATATTATTAACAAAGGCTAGTATTTTTTATACCAATACTGCTACTGATGTCTTTATTAAATGTATTTTCATTTTAGCCATTCATTATAACCATTCAACATTACAGTATAACTGAAAGACATTATTTTTAACATTTAGTAGGCTCTGAAAAACATAACTTTTAATTTAAGTGAACTTAAAACAATCTTCACATAAACTATAAATTGTATTTTATAGTTTTGACATAATTGTGCGTTTTTGTCGAAGCGCTACTGGTGCGCTGTCTGAAGCGGCTCAGCGCATGCGTCATTTGATAATCATCTTCTTCCAGTGTCTGTGCTATTTCTCGCCAGAAATTATGACCGATAACACTGCCTTTATACTTGTTTAAACTAGAGTTGTGGATATGTCATAACCCCCTCACACAAGCGCTTGTCAACGCTGCCGTCTATTGATGTTGCGGTCTCCAGTAGGCTGTTGTTGTTGAGTCTCTTCCTTTTCTTTTTTGGCTGTGTGAAACAACGGCCCGGACCAGTGTTGCCACCTTGTGGACAAATTAATTAGTGCAAAAACAATTCAAGGCGTACATGCTACTTGCGCGTAGCCTACTCTTCCCTCGGGCCGGATGAAGATGATTGGCGGGCTGGATTGGGCCCACGGGCCGCCAATTGAATAGCCCTGCCCTAGATACTTAAACACGTGCACGGTCAATGCTGTACTCCACTGACCTGAGATCTGTCTAGCGGCCCTCTGTAGCCCCGTTCCCCTCGTGATTTAACGGTGAGTTCTAACCAGGTCTCTTCCCTCTCACCGCCCCTTCCTCCCCTTCACTTCTCTCAGGTTTCTGGACACCTCCAAACAGGCCATAGGGATGCTGTTCATTCACTTTGCCAATGTCTACCTGTCTGACCTCACAGAGGAGGACCCATGTTCACTGTGAGTCTGTGTGCACGTTGTCGTTTCAATGTTTCCCCCACACATCGTTGTACTTCCCGTAGTGTTTGTGTCTGGTTTTTACATATTTGTTATCAGCTGTGCTCAGCGACCAACTCCCTGTGTTGTTTTCCGCAGATACCTGATCAACTTCCTTTTGGATGCGACACTGGGCATGCTGGTGATCTATGGCGGTGTGAAGGCCGTTAGTGCTGTGGTTGAATGGAGACAGTGGGATTCGCTGCGTTTTGGAGAGTATGGTATGAGCCTTAACATCAATTGTTAGGAGTAAATTGAAAGTAGTGGGAACCGTGAGTTAATCATGGACTAGACACTTCCGCTGAGCTTCTTTATGTGAATGTGGCCTCATATAAAGAGGGCAATCCTCAGACTCATGAATGGGAAATTGAATCAGCCCTTTCATTCCTTACCATTGTTCGATTTGTGTTCACTGAATTACATTCATTTGAAATTAGGATAGAAATCTTGTTCTTCACGGACTATTATGCCTGTCTGAAACCAAACAATAAGTCTAATCAATGATTTAACAGTGTTTTTATATAAAGGTTCCCTCCAAAAGAAAGTAGTCAGACCATCTTTCAAGGCACTGTAATGCAATTGTTGAATTAATTTAGATGAGATTAACTTAACTAGTTCAACCCACCAATTTTAACACCAGTTTCTTGTTTCGGTTAACCACTGAACTGCACATACAGGGTTGTGTGATCTCATTGGCAGTGAAAGATACATTTATGATGAACTGGAAATTGTTTTCAAGCAGTGATTCTTAACCTTTTTCACTCCAGCCCCCCACTCCCCACTCATTTACATGATTTTCCAGGTCTAGGCTTCCTCATATATCCACATTTTTCAAGGCCATGGAAAAAATTGGGGGGTTGAATTGAAATAAATTTTTTTATGCTTATTTTGTCTTATTTTAAAGTCATCTTGGGGCCCTCTTGGAGGTTTGCTGGGTCTGTTTTGAAGAAAAAAAACACTGTTTTGAAGTGTTGTATTTCTAATGTTTGCACATAGGCGAGCCGGTTCAGTGCAGTGCCTGGGTGGGTCAGTGTGCTCTCTACATCCTCATCATGATGTTTGAGAAGGTCATGATCATGTTGGTCCTCCTTCTCCCACAGTGGAAGAAGGTCAGTCAGGTGTCCAAATACTAATGGATGTTTGTGGTTCATGTTCTGAACTAACTGATATGTTTGGAGAAAATTTATTATCATCATGTATCATTATAATACTACTTTACTAACTTGCAGTTAAGGAAATATTCCACCCAAAAATGAAAATTGTCGTTAAATTATGGTTGTTTTAATTATTTGGTTTATGATGTATTTGACTGTTGTTTGTGTGTGTTGGACAGCTGGCTACACTCAACCCCATAACAAACCCTCATCTGGAGCTAGCTATCGTCATGCTAATCGTCCCGTTTTTCGTGAACGTAAGTGAGACACTTTTATGTATCGTTACCATTCAGAAGTTTGGGTTTAGTATGATTTTTTTAATGCTTTTTCAGTGTCTTATGCTCATCAAGGATGCATTTATTTGATCAAATATACAGTAAAAACTGTAATATTGTGAAACATAAGTTTTAAAATAACTGTTTTCTGATTTAATAAAATATGCAATGTAATTTATTCCTGTGATTATACATTTTGAGTAGCCATTACTCTAGTCTTCAGTGTAACATGATCCTTAAGAAATCATTCTAATATGCAGATTTGTTTAGGAAACATATTATTATTGATGTTGAAAATTCTGCTGATTAAATTTTTTGTTGTTGTTGTCTGTGTGTAAACCATGAAAAAAAAAAACTGGATTCTTTGATGGATATAAAGTAAAAAAAAACTAACAAAAAAATTTATTTAAAATAGAAATCTTTTGTAACATTATAAATTATGTAACATTATTTACCATCACTTTTGATCAATTTAATGCATTCTTGCTGAATAAAAGTATTACTTTCAAAAAAATCTTACTGACCTCAAACTTTTAAATGTTAGTGTAATTGCATCCTATTGGTTAAATGTAATGATTACTATTTTATATATTTTTTTGCATTATTTTATGTTGTGATTTGTATATATTTTTGCTATGTATTTATACATAAATATATTTGTATTTTCCTCACTGCTTGTTTCTTATGTAGAGAAAATGTGGCTTACATGCTCTAAATCTTCTGTATAAGTCTATATGACATGTGGTTCTGTCATTGTTGCAACACATCTGTTTGTGTCTGAATGTTTGCCCCTGTTTGTGTGCATATCCAGGCTCTCATGTTCTGGGTGGTAGATAACTTCCTAATGAAGAAGGGCAGAACAAAAGCCAAATTGGAGGAGAGGGAAGCAGAAGATGACCCTCGTGGCAGCAGCAAAGTGCGCTATAGACGTGCATTGTCACATGATGACTCTGAATCAGAAGTAAGTTACTCTTACTGAGTCAATTTGATGTGACAGCAAAAAAGGAAAATGATTATTCCTATGGCTGTTAATTAAATAATATTTTAATTGAACAAGAGCTGTAAGCAGTTATATGTGCCAAGCCAGCTACGCAACATACCTTCCTACCTGCATCTATCCAATATTTTGCCCTCTATCTATACGTATATCCATGGGTGCACATACGTTTTTCAGTGTGGTTCTCACAAGAGCACCTGGAGATTTGGTTCGGTGTTCACACTGCACAGTGTGACCCATTAAATATAACTATACAAAATAAAATAATTAGTAATAATTGAATAACTATTATTGCGCACCACTTATGTGCATCCCTGTATATATCAGATCATTTTTAGAAATGAAGCAACTTCTGCATAATTTCTTGCCACAATACCTCTTGGGGTTCAGAAATGTTCCACAGGGATTAGATCCCACAACCTGAAAGGCTTAGCAGAGTGCACTACTTAGTTGATGCACAATCATCAGGCTGCTGGGAAGAGCTTTCAGTGTGAGGAACACACAAAAGCATTGCTTAACATTTTGACATGCTAAGCTAACTTATTACTAATGTAGCTTATGGTTAACATGATAGCTGAAGAGTCACATTAGAAAGAATGGCAACTGGTTAGTATTTTAAACAATTAGCATGCTAAGCTAACTAACATAAGTCAACACAGGCACAGTCAACTTTGGAGAGTTATTTCTTGGGAATGGTAGTAATTATCAAAAATCTGTCTGGTAATTTCTGTGTAGCTGGGTCAGTGCTTAATTTGAGTCGGATCCTGTTCCGGAAAATGTCAGATTTTGGATTTTTCAATCCAATTTCAATCCAATCCAATTTACAATTGTGCCAAAACAAATCATATAAATGTATTCAGAACAGAACAAGAATGAAATAAAAAATATATAAACCAAAACAAAGTGAAACTGAAAGTACCAGGCATTAATTGGGCTCATGTACCTCTCATTCGGCACAAATCCTAATGTTTCCATATTCGCGATGTATTTGAATGAAACTATTATTTATAATGTAGAGGCTTTGTACTTCACGCGCATTCGTATATCGACAGAAATATCTTCACATGAGCAAAAATGTGCTTGGCATACAAAGTGGACCAGTTATACCACGGACTATTTAAATTGACCAGTGTAACCTTTTTTTTTGGTTGACTATTTTATTTTGATAATGAACAGACTGCGATGTTTGAGTTGCGAATATGTGGTGTGTGTGTGTGTGTGTGTGTGTG